CCCCCCCCCCCACCTCCTCACGTTGCATGATGCTTTGAAGGTTAATGACTTAAATATTGATAGATTTTTGAGCAAAGTGGTCTTAGTATTTAGTATTAGTGCTTTAGAAAAATGCTAAGTTTGATGATAGATACGTCAAGCCTGATAACATTGCAAACAAAAAAAAAACAAACAAACAAAACAAAACAAATCAAATCAAAAACAAAAAAACAAAACAAAACAAAACAATCAAAAAAGAAAAAAAAGAAGGAAAATTCAAAGCAAAAAGAAAATGAAAAGTTTAACACATTTTCATCCGTTCGATTAGCAAAATAGGGCCTTAAGGGAATTATGTTCCAAGTTTATTATTACTCATTTAAAAAAATGATAAAGATACTTGCTGGAAGAATAGAAAAGAAATAAAACGCAAAGCACATAATTTAAATTGATATAGTGGATTATCTATAGTTTATTATTAGTCATTTAAAAAAATGATAAAGATACTTGCTGGAAGCAAAGAAAAGAAAAAAACGCAAAACACATAATTTAAATTGATATAGTGGATTTCGTATTACGTCACAACACCCGAGAAAGAAAAAAAGAAAGAAAAAGCTTTATTGTTTTTAGGCGAATGTTATTGCTCAACAGGTTTATGCTAACTGTTATTGCCAACTTTTAGTCAGTTATTGAAAGAAAGATAAATTTGATTGCACTTGGTAGTTCGTATAGTTTTTAGAGTCATGCCCAACTGCACATTGTTTACGTAGAAATTTGAATACATAATGAAGGTTATAATATTAGATGTAATTACTATTTCAAATGTAATTAAACATGGCTGTGAAAATCGTGCACCTGCTTGGTCCTGTATCGCCGCTCCTAATCATAAATGTCCCGAAGTAGAACCAACAATTAAACGTTTGGTATTATTCCTAAAAGTAGACAACCAACATCGTTATACTAAAGGCTTATTGCGATAGAGGGTTTTCACCACCACGTGGCGATAACCATGTTAAATGGCAGGATGAATACAATCATTTTACATGAGAAAGAACTCGATTCCCGAGAGGAAAGGGATTTTAATGCTCTGCTATCTAAACACAGGCAGCCCAAGTTGTATTATGGGCGCCGGCACGTGATGGTGCAAAACCTCTATTTGTCACTAAAACTTGTGTATCTCTTGACTGCGAAGAATCCTTAAATTTCCCTAAAATCATTATAATACTGAATGCTATCCCAGCAGTAACCCTAACCTGACCCCTATTAGTATTGAGTTGGCGTTTTAGTACATTTTTTTGGAGTATGTTTCAAAGGGGACTCAATAGACGCCATCTTGGAAATATGTCATAAAACATACCAACTCCCCCCAGTTTTAAGTTTCTCAACATCGTAATGGCTCATTATGCAGGGCCTCAATATAGAGAAGCTCCAGTCTTATAATTTAATTAATTTAAAAACGCGAGGTACTATAATTCTAAGGAATTAGGCGGTTAGCTCGGCTCTAAATAAAGTGACGGCCTTGACATGAGCCCACCAAATGTCGTAATTCTTGTACCGGGTTGGGTCGTTAGTCTGACGTAAATGCAGTTATTCTGCGTTTCAGTCTTTTTTTTTGTTTTTGAAAATCATTTCAAAAAAGAGAACGTCGGGTCGTTGAGAGTCGTCGAGTACTGCTACTCAGTTGCAGTAAAAAAGACTGCAGACTTTTGTGGGCGGGAGCCCTGTGTCAAATAATCATGGCCAATGAGTCAAAACCGAAACGCTCAGACAGAACCCATGCAAGCGGAAATAGAAAATATATTTCCTAGGAACAGCTTGTTTTATTCCCTGAATCCTCCGGATAGTTATAGGGATGTTAAGTTATGCGCTGAATTAAAGATTCAGAGAGTGAAGCTGAGTTTCTACCTATAGCTGTAAAACATAAGGTCTCAATATAAGTTATTTTGCTAATTCCATCCAGTTATCTAGTGATCTTCGAAGGATGGCTTCCCATTACAGTGGTTACCAATCGAAAGAACATTGACGACGGCGTCAAAGCAATTTATTCTCGAGCGGAGGAACACGGAGGAGAGAAGAAGAAGAAGAAGAAGAAGAAGAAGAAGAAGAAGCATTGGAGCTTTTTAATGTGATTTTTCAATCTTCTGGCAAAATGGAGCTTGAAAAAGCTTTATCAGGTCTAAGTTCAAGAAGTAAAGGCTTGATTCGATATTATGGACCAGAGATGTTTATGCGATCTTTCCGAGATATTTTWAAGYTCAAGAAGTCTTCAGAYYGGCGATCGCRAGACAAAGTCGAAACTATCATGACTCTTAAATTTTGTCCTCAARAAGCCGACAAGAATGGCTGTCCAGTTGGAAGTGCATGCGAAAACCTACACTTGTGTCCATATTTTGTCAAAGGAAATTGCATGTATAAAGACAAATGTTGGATGTCACATCAAATCAAAGATGCTCACACCATGTCACTGCTGCGTGAAATAAGGCTCGCAGGCATAAGCACGAATTTGTGGCTTGAGATTTTGAAAAAMGTTTTAGCCGACACACAGATGGAAAGAGGAGCATCTACTCATGGTGTCCCAGAAATTTGCAAGTTCTACAACAACCAAGGCGGCTGTGGCAAAGGCGAAAAGTGTGCCTTTCTTCATGTCTGTCAACAGCAGCAGTAAGGCGGACTCGCGGAGCGTCGGCAATGCACCTGGAATTTCACGGGTATTTCCCGGGCTTGGGAC